GAGACAATCAAAGTTATACTCTAGACAGTGTGGAATAGACTAAATTCAACGACTATCTAATCAAAAATGAACAAGAGAGAAAGTAAAGAGATGCAGTTAGCAGCAGGATGTCAAGGAACAACTGACAACTGCTTCTTTCTGAACATACATCGATCGGATTTCAGGCGTTTGATAGCAATTGTTTTGGCAAACTTGAAGAGAATTGAACTATTCTGTAAACTGATAAGTTTAAAGGATTTCATTGTGTCTACCTTATGACCAGTATCGATGAGGTGCCTGGCAATGGTATTATAGTAAGTTATTTCTCACCTTGTGAGGTAGGTAGGATCTCTGGTTGTTACATGTGTAGAAAATCGAAGGTGTCCCCTTCTGCTTATTATTATGTACTGTAATTCGAACCAACCACGCTTTTTGCACTGCTGATCTTATTTTGACCTCTAATGCTTAAACTGATCTCAAAATCGTTAAAAAATATGGAAATAATCATAATAATATAAGTGTAAAACTTCATCACCGTGATAGAATGTATTTTCATATTATGTAAGTTTATTATATTGATCACACATTGATGATGCAGCGCTCGTAACTGGATGACAAGGTTTCGAGCATAAATTATTTCCACTCATAATCATATCAGTTTATGAGAAATAATAAGACATGTTTTACGCATACTAGCCTAGCCATCGCCTTCCTCGACTGACGGGTAATGTTAGCTGATATAGAGTCAGGTTGGAAAAGAGCTAGTCAGTGATGGTCAAACCGAAACATGGCTTCATCACTAAATGAAATCCATAACAGTTAGTTTAAGCCAATCACGTAGGAAGATATAGACTACTGTCTGGTTAGGGTCCTAGGGACGGTAAACACCAATGAAGGATGGAGACAATTGGTGATATGGTTGGCTCAAAATCGTTCTCAATGGTTGGTGCAGATGTATCCACTCTTTGTGACTTATAATTTCCAATAAAAGTATATTGTTCTTCGATATCAATATACCCTTTGCCTCATATCTATCTTCACTGTCTGTATTTTGCGTTTCATTTTACTTTCTTCTTTTTCTCTGGCTTTGTGTGCTGAGTGAAGTGTGGCGACTCGGATTGCTGCACATCGGTGCAAAGTTGTTCTATGTTGAAACCAGAGAGAGAGAGAGAGGGACATATCAGTTTAGTCACATGTTTTCATAATTTATCTCATGTATATTTTCTCTCTTTTTGTCTATCCAGCTTCCCTTTGGTGTTTGTTGTAACTTTCCATATCTCTGGTATAGGCTGTTGCGTTGCACCATTCCGATTGTACGTGTGTGCTGTTGAATCGATAAACAAAACTTTAGTGCATTAACCTCTCTGTCTCTCACTCCACCTAATTATATTACTTCTTAATTCTGTCACTCTGTCCCACCCACGCTATTGTGTGAATGCACTGAAATGCCTGAGCTTTTTTCTAGGTCATTTAACTTGGGAGGGTCAATTATTCTGGGTCTAACTAGATTTTTATGGTCTAGTAATCTAGTTGACCTCGATCTACCAGTATGACCTATACTCTAATTAACGTCACAGTAATTGTATGATATTTGGTGAAATACATTACTTTGCTTAATTGGATCTATTGAACAAGTCCTTAGGCCGACAAAGTTTATCTCTAAGACAGTTGGTTGGTTGGTTTATATGCCCCCCCGGACTAATTCCAGCCTCATTGAGAATTCTACAAAAGGTCTCTGACGACTTTCTTTCTTTATACGGCAGTGCTACTACAGACGCCTCGAATTCTATATTATTTCCGTCATTTTTATTGCTAATCTTAGTCTTTCTATGGTTCTTCATATATACTTTTGAATAAATTCTGGTGGGTAGTAATTCACTAATAATACTCAGCCCGATTATACAGACATTCAACTAAACCAATCCTCCTTCACCGTTTCTGGATGGGATGAATTAAAGTCTATATATATTTATCAGAGTGTATGTGTCGGTTTCCTATAAATGTCAGCTAGTATCTTTGAGGTATAATAACTGAAAATGAGGTAAACGTCTGAACTGCAGTAAGATTTTGATCATATGTTCCCAATTATTAGTGCAGTTTGTATACTGTTCGACGACAAATTCGAGCGTACAAAAGACAAAATAACCGTACAATTATAATATGCTAAATCCAGCATAATTAATAAAAAGTTTGGCAGATTCTTTTTCCAATTTTTAGTAAAATTATAAACTTCCAAACCATAGATGCTGGGAATTTCCTGAAATAAACTGAGTGTCGAGTCAGATTTAATCATTATTTCAGACAAAAACTTGGTACTATGTTGACACGAAAAATGTGCCACACAAAAGTGTATAAGGAAAATAGGGAGAGAATGAATGACCGATATCATTCAGAAAGCAACCAAGTATACTTGTCAAGATCATTCAGCATTTGTCACTTCATATTACTTTCAGAAACAGAAAAGAAAGAAGGAAATTGTAGCGTGTTCTGCATTAATTGCAATTCTCAACGGTAACCATTAACGTTTCCAGCCACCGATTTCAGCTATCTCTCAGACCCTGACCAGGGAGTTGTGACGCACCAACTGAAGCAAGCCTAACACAAATATCCTTCATCCCACGACGCCACATCATAGACTGACCACCTCTCCGCTTTATTCATCCATTCCCAGGACTAAAAACAGATGCTGGTATGGAAGCCTCTGGGATGACATTCGTAGCACACGTCCACGCCACTAAAGGCGGTATTTCCAGATAACGGCAATCAATGAATGCTGTCCTCCACTGTATCCAGACACATACTACCGCACCCCATAATTGCTTATACGATGATTACATCGAATGTAAGCAATTCTACGGAGACAGCGACGGTCGAATACGCAGAGCCGCTCTGCATCCTAACCTTGTAGGGGCCAGATTTCACTGGAGTAGAGCGAAAATGAGCACACCGAAGCATTGTAAACTCTGTCTTTGACAGCCAGAATTAGGTCAGAATGAAATACGCCAACTTAGCTTCCACTATGCAGTTATAACATTACTTCAGTCTTCAACCTTGCGCAGATATATATATATATATATATATATATATATAAAACACGACGAAATCAAAAGTACAAATGATAAGTGAGCATAGTTCAGCGGAATCGTCACCCCATCCGGAGATCATCATTACTATAACTAAAGTTTATTTCAAGTATCTCATACAGTGATGCAGTATTAACAACTGGATGACGTTGCGAGCATAGATTATTGCTCATATTCATATCAATTTTAGTCACATGGTTACATAATTTGTCCGATATAGGCGTTGCATCATTCCCTTTACACGTATGCAGTGGTGAGTCGATAAAAAATGATTCAGTCAGTGCATTAACCTCTCTGTCTCTCACCCCACCTTACTACAATTACTTTTTAATTCTCTCACTCTGTTTCACTCACCCTATTGTGTGATTAAATGCAAGTAAATGCAGTGCAATGGCTGAGCTTTTTTCTAAGTTATCTAACTTAACTGGGTCTATCTAAATCTTTATGTTCCAATAATCTAGTTGACCCTGATCTACTAGTTTGACCTATATAAATGACCTCACTTACAGTCATTACACGTTAATTGGTAAATTATATTACTTGTCTTAACTGGATCTACTGGGGGAGGTCCTTAAACCGATAAAGTTTACCTCTGATTGGGTTGGTTGGTTGATTTAAATGCCATCCTAATTCCATTCCACGTAACCTCATTGTGCGTTATATCAAAATAACTGATCTAATAGGATAGACAAAAACTCATATGAAATGGTGCGGGAGGACAGATCTATTGGGTCCCTAAGCCAACAAATGTTGGTTGATATTCAAGTATTGGTTTGTAGAGATTTGATTGGTTACAGGATTTTCATCATGAGCTGACATTAGTTAGAGAACCATTGGGAAACCAGTTGGGAGTACTAGACAGCTGTTTCGTCCTAGTCTGGGACTCTTCATCAGTACGCACCCAGCGGGGCTCAAATCCAGGACGAAACAGCTATCCAGTACTCCCAACTGGTTTTCCAATGGTTCTCTAACTAATGTCAGCTCATGATGAAAATCCTGAAATGTTGATTGGTTTTTATGCCACCCCAACTTATTCCAGCCTCGTTAAGAATCCTACGTAGGGCCTCTGACTTCCCTTCCTTATGCTGCAGCACTACTAAAAAAACTGTGAATTCTATGTTATTCTCGTAATTTTTATTGCTAATCCTAGTTTTTCTATGATTCTTCATATATGTTTTTGAATAAATTCTGATGGATAGTCTGTTATTCACTAGTAATACTTCCTTCATTCGCTTGATTTCGTTATTTAAATCTTCTGGCTTACTAGTTTGACTCTTAGCCTGATTACATAAACATTTAAGTGAACCTGTCTATACCGATTCTGAATGGAATAAATTAAAGTCTAAGTATTTATCAGAGTGTGTATCGGTTTCCTATAAAATGCCGCCTAGTATCTAACCCTCTACCATGTTATTTTCGTTTGATTCAACAATCTAACATGACCAACTCACCCTTGTTCATTTTCTACCTCAGAAGTGAATTCTGTCTACTAGTGAGTTTCTCTATGTGTGAAAACAAATTGTGAGGGATATGTTCAAATTTCAACACAGTGACAAACTAAGACAATGAGAAACAAACAACAGCTGTGTTCAGTAGTATGCGCTCCAGTATGGTGATGAGAATGATGATCAATCATCGCTTCTAACTGATCTGTCAGTATTCAATGATGAAATCGTAACATTTTTAAATTTCTTCACGTTCCCAGTGGAACATATGGTGGCTTCAAGCTAGAGGCTTGAAGTTTCTGTAGTAGTGTTTATTTTATTTTACAGGATGAAGTTGCTAGCCCCTCATGCCCAACCTTTCCTCTTCGCCAGTTCTATTAAAGAGGTAAAGGAGTGCGTCGGTGGCCGGGGATCGAATCCCGGACCATGTATGCATAGTCGGCGAGCGTCCCAATCGTTGTGCCACCGACGTACATGAAATCAAAATAACTGAAGCCAATCAAAATAAAAATCCCCCACAAATCTCATAATCTAATCTCTAATTGTTGCCCCTTCTTGATCTTAACATCATCTTCAATGTCTGAACCCACTTACAATTTTACACTGAAAATAATCGATAAAATCACTGACTGATCATTATTTTATTGATTAATTAGATCAAGATCTCAAGAATCTGTACAATATACATTGAGGAATTACACATACACACACAATGAAATCAAAGATACAAGTTGTTATATAAATAAGTGAGCATTAATTAGTGTTCTCAGAGGGATCCTCACCTCACCCCACCTCAACCCAACCCACCCTACAATAAAAGACAAATCACCACGAGAAAAACAAACAAAGAGAGAAAGATTGATAAAATTCAAAAAACAACAGTGAGATCATGATTTCAAAGAAAAAAGAAAAATTGGATTAAGATGTGACGGGGGGGGGTTGGAGGGCCATGGGGCAAGAGACACCACTCTATAAGAAGAAAAGAAAAAAAGGAGAGTAAAATTTGTACAAATACCATATTGAGATCATATCCACATACATTGTGCGTGTGTGCACGTGTATGTATGCATGTGTGAATGAGTGAGTGAATATATGTCATGGTGATTTGAGGATGATTGTGATTGAAGTTGAGATGGGGTGGAGTGAGGTGGTGTGGTGTGATGGTTATAAAATGAGTTCATTTGAAGAGAAGACACCTAAATTTTGAGGAAATGAAACATAGAAATGGAAAAGAAATTCCCTTGAGAGGAAATCTCGTTTGTTTGTTTGTTTTAAAGGAAAAGCGGTACCATCGCCGTCCCCTTCCCCCCCCCCAGAAACCCATTCCCTCCCGGAAACAAACGTGAAGCCACAGAGAGAGAGAGAGAGAAGTTAAACGTAATCATAATCATCATTTGTCATGATCAGAAAACGGCGAAGAAGAAGAAGATGGAGATAGTTACCACCACCACCACCACCCCCGCCGTTGTCACTCCTCACCCAACCACCAATGAGGTGTTTGTGCGTTTTTGATGTTTAGGTAGTGTTGTAATTATTATCACACCATCAATTCTCAAATGACTAGGGATGTTAAAAAAAACAAAAACAAAAAACACACAGGGGAACATTGAACACGCACGCACACACACACACATACACACACATAAAACCAAAATTATGCAATGAAAGAAGATGAAATGAATGAATATACACAGCGATAGACAAGGAGCCCGAAGAAAAGGGGTGGAGAACAATGAGAAACGGAGACAATTAAAACCATCAAATGAACCATATATTTATATGTATTCTATTGTTTTGAGCTATTTTATTTATACACAATGATCAATTGGAAATTATTCCTGTTGCATGTGTTGTTGTATTGACACTACACTGTGAATACAATTATAAAATAAGAGTAAAATACAAGTTTTGTTGGTCTAGGTGCCGATCCTCGGTCAGCCCCGGCGTCACCATTCCCAGAAACCTCGGCTAAGCTGGTTATAGTAAGAAGTCCCGAGGTAAAAAAAAGGAGAAAGTTGGGCTAGATAGACGTGAGGCTAGCGAATTTCCCCACCCCATTTTATTGATTGATTGACTAACTTGACATACGAACATAATCGTATCCAGGAATTTTAGACGATGAAGAATGCATAGACGGGGGATTACGACTACTACTAGTCGTAGGAGTTTGAACAGACATTAGTGTCCTTTTATTTTCTGTATGTTTCGGGGATTTTTTACGTGAACCAATTGATATCAACTTGTTCGGTTTCTGATGTTGATGATGATATTGTTGACTTTCAATGGGGAATGTATTTATCCCTAAAGGATTTAACGAAACAGGAGATTGGTACTGGTGACGAGGATTAACAACTCCAAATCCTCCTCCCCCTCCTGTTGTTGGTGTTGTCGTCTTCGTCGGTGATCTAGATCCTGACAGATGTTTAACAGGTGATGCATAAGTTGAATGAGATTTTTGTTGTTCACCATGTGAATGATGATTATTACTTGTTACCCGATTCATCATCATTAAAGGATTTCCTTTTGATTGAATACCATTCGATTCATTAGGTAGACATATCAGAGAGGAGGTTAAAAGGTTACCGACATTATTATTATTATGATTATCATTATTGTATTGATTGTTAACCTTTCGCCTCTCAATCGCTTCACTTAAAGCCGCCGATTGACTATGCGATAAGTGCTGATTAGGTAGCCTATGCGATGTAAACGAAGAAGCCGAAGGAGAGGAATGATTCCCTTGCTTTGCCAATGCATCAATCTCATTGACTTTGGAGCGTAGAAATGTAAACTTCCAATCTTTTGAAAGTTTCCCGTTGCCAGTAGCGGCAGCATCATTGTCAAGAAGTTGAGATTCTTGATCAAAGTGATAGGCTTGTTCATCGCTAAGGGAATCCAAATCATCATTATTATTATTCTTGATGTTGTTGTTGGTGGTGGTGTCATCATACTCGTCATTTTCCACCTCTGTATTACAATCATTCTCGTCGTTATGGTGATACGGATGATATTGACGTTGACTTGTAGGATAATTTGATGACTTCAGCTTAGTTTTTAATTTTTTCCCAATATTTAGATTATAAGGACGACAATTATGAGGATGATCGTGTCCAGTTGTCGAAAATACACTGTTATTCATACTGTCTTTATCATCAACAGCAGGAATACGACCACGATCACCACCGCCAATACCACCACGAGAGTAGTCATCCTTATGAGGCTGACGATGGCGATGATGGTGGTCATTCAGTTCACTTCTGTCATCATCATCACCAAACGCCGCTTCATCATCAGCGTAATAATCCTCAGGAAGACAACTGATGATTGTAGTACTAGTACCAGTCTGCTGATGAGGTTCTTGTTCACTTTGTGACAACATTTCAGAGGTTGTAGTATTACTTCTTTCATCGCCTAGAAGAGATTCACCTCGTCTGCTATTCATCATCACACCGGCCACTCCAGGATTATCGCTAACGATAGACGTATTAATTGGAATATGATTAGGAGCGGTTGGCGGTGACTGTGGTATTGGATGACTTGATTTCATATTCGAGAATCGATGATGATCACGCTGATTGGATAATAAATAGTTATTCTTGATATAAGCATAATCGGATATTGAATAGCGCTTATCATCAATATTATTATTATTATGTTTTAGTGCTGTTCCTCGACGTTGACTCCCGCTACAACTACTACTTGTCGTTGTACTACTTGGATGATGATTTGCATAGTAGGCAGTTAATATACGTCCAGGTGAGAGAATTGTTCCATTCACCTGCGTCTTACACGACTTGACACCATTAACAATTGAATTATGTAACGGTTGTTGTTCCCCACCATGATAATTCATCATAATGACACCGGCAGTTTCCTTCTGATGATGATGATGGTGACCATCGCCTAAATCATCATCATCATCAGCATTATTCCCTTCAATATTGCCCAACTTCTCACCATTCAATGACAGCATCGATTTATTAAAATATTCCACATCGAAATCATCATAAGCTGGATGAAAAGCTGTCCGAAGTTCAATACACGATCCACCAATTCCATAATCTCCATAATGATCAATCATTCCACAATCATTGACCGTGACAGTGTTATCACCAATCCCTGGAGGAGCAATACTACGTGAAGTATTATTCTGTAAGTAATCAGCTTTCAGCAGTCCACCACCATTCAATCCACCAGCGGCGGCAGCAGCGGCCGCGGCCGCGCCACCAACACCACCTACACTGATCATACTAGCCAACAGGGAACGATGTTGATGATGATAACCACGATGTCGATTACACACTTCACGATTGACAATCAATATAATCCCGATAAGGATAACTAGAAAAGCGATAATCACACCGATAATGTATGGCAGACTACTTCTTTCATTGGTGTTATTCACACTTGTCTGATTAATAATCGATTGATTTGGATAACTGGTGGCATTATCGCCTGTGAGCAGTTCATGTTTAGCAATTACAGTTAACATTGGATTATCTAATAACAGGCTATGGCTATTAGCCGTTGTTCCGTAAGTATACTTAATATCTTGACACAGCTGAAGACATTTATCTAAATTGTTTAGAAATAAATTCCTCATTGCACATAAATGATCACATCGACACTGAGAGTAAGCTCGTGGGCATAGACCATATTTATTCAAATAATTCGGTTTTAATGCATGCTGTCTACCGCCTAATTCATATCGCCAATAGCTTGACCAATAACCATTATCTTCTTGTAGAAAATTATGATACAAGTTGGTTAATGATTGTGGGGATAAATCGACGAGTTGATAGGCTGACAAAGTGTCATATTCCAATTGCCAATTATTATTATTATTATTATGATCATTTGTTGGTGAGAGTTGATTTTCTAAATTGTAATAGTATTGTGCATAACCGAGTAATTTCATTGTTGACCTCTGATAACGGTATAATCGAATTCGAGGATTGAAATCGCCCAGACCGTGCAAAATCATTGGGGAAACCGAGGGCATTAGAAATAAGGAAGCCACTGAGATATCTATAAAAGGCAAAGAAGGGACAAAAAGTCGAATTATAGATAGGATGAATAGGCCTTAAATTTATAACCCCAAAATAGCGCCTATGACACTAGAAAAACGACATCTTTAACAACTGTTGCGGGACCATGGGTCCCATACGGATTTGTTTCAAGTCTGATCATGAACTGACATCAGTTAGAGAACCAGGAAGTACTGGACGGCTGTTTCGCCTTGGTCGGAGACTATTCAGCAACGCCGAAAACTCCCACCCTGGGATTCGAACCCTGGACCTTCTGGTGTTTGTCTGCCTATTTTCGACAAAGAACTTTGCACATATGTGCAGCAGTTCGAGTCGCCACACTCCATGTACCAAGAGAAGAAAGTAGAAGAAATGCATAAAAGAGACAGTAAACAGAGGTGTGAGACAAAGGAATACTAATAACGAAGAACAATATACTTTCATTGGAAATCATAAGTCACAAGGAGTAGCTACATCTGCACCAGACATTGAGAACCATTTTGAGCCATATCACCAATTGTTTCCAACCATTCGTCTTCACCGTCCCGAGGACCTCAACCAGTCACGAAGTCTGCACCTTCCTACTTGACTGGCTTAAACTAATTGTTGTAGATTTCATTGACTGGTGCCATGTTTTAGTTTGGCCACCACTGGCTACCTCTTTTCCAGCCTGACCCTATGTCAGCTAACATTGCTTGTCTAGGAAGGCGATGACTAGGCTAGCATGCTCAACACATGTCCTAATCATCTCAGTCTATGTAAATTCACAGCCTCGTCGATTGATTTCCCCTCCTTACCTAGCACTCGACGCCTAACCTCAATATTGCTCACCTTGTTATACCACTTCACACGGGAGATAGAACGCAGGCACTTATGATCAAAGACAACTAGTCAGTCTTTTCATGGCCAGGTCTCACAGCTAGCCATAAAGAAAGACGGAGCGGACTGATGAGCAGTACACCCGCCCTTTGGTCGATAGCCAGTCGGATATCACGTCTACGCCAGAAACGGCGTAGATGATACTTCCCAAATAAGTGAAGCGGTCAACGTGCTCTACCACTTCACTTCCTATTTCTAATCTAGGAGTCGGTGTAGCCCAGTCCTGTAACATCATCTTGCATTTGGCGGGAGCGAATCACATGACCTCCGGTGACTAGGAAACCTTATAGATCATTCTCAACCAATGGCCAGTCCATGAATTCCAACTATTCTACCTATTTGTGACTCCAGCACAACCACGAAACAGTGTCATAGGAGAGTATTTCTCCACACACCCAACTTGATGAACCCTACAGTTAACGACTTCTCACCAGAACTCTAAGCAACTTCGTTCAGTAGGCGGTAGTCTCCAGCGACCATCAGATTAATTTCCAATAGTTCGTATATCGGAATTTAATTTGATGCAATTAGTTCCCTTTATGAATTAGGACAACACAATAAGAAGACGTAGCTTATCTGAAACGTGTAGTGTATTGGCGCAACACATTTCGGACATTCTGAACACACACACACACACACACTAGTACTCGTCATACACAGTTTCATAGAAGGCTAGAAGGCATGAGTAATTACAATACAGGTCAGATTGTGTACAGGTCAAGGTCACAAATGATGGGAAGGGAGATGACGCAAAGGTGTGGGTGAGAAAGAGAAAAAGAGAAAACAAAAAAGCCGAGAAGGGATTGAAAATGATTGTGAAGTAAATCGATACTTGATTCTAAACTGGATTACCAAGGGAGGTTTAAAGTAATAACAAATAACTTTTGGACACATAAGACAGACAGGTTTAAGTGTTTTTATGGCCAAGGCTTCACTGAATTTAAGTATGTGACCCCACATTGTTTTATCTATGGGCTGAAAGGCATTGTTGAAATCAACCTTATAACCCATCTCTATAATGTGCTTCGCCTTAGATGATGTTGGACATCCTTTTCCGGGATCACTTGTGTCTGGCGATTTCATTTGTTGTTAGATAACAATTAACCGCTGAGATTTATTAGGCGTTAAGGAAGTGTAAACCATAGAGCTTTACCAATCCAATCAGATCACAAAAAGGATGTTTACATATCCTTGCTGTTCAAAGGTGATCAACAAAGTCTAGTCACTAGACAAAGACTCAAAGCCGAAATTAATAGAACTTATTATGCACCTAAACTTATCTTCGTAGAGAAAACGAGAACCATGCTGTCCTGTAAACGCTTACACTATCCGAACGATGATGTCAAATCTCACTGTGTTTATCAGTTTACATGTATGTGTGGAGACACGTACATAAAGAGGACCCATCGGTCTCTGCGGGTTAGGGCTACAGAACATATTCCAATGTGGCTCCAACAACAAATCGACCCCGGAAATAGATGTCCAACATCATCTATGCCGAAGCACATTATAGAGACAGGTCATAAGGTTGATTTCAACATGGTTGGGTCATATACTTAAATTCATTGAAGCCTTGGCCATAGAAACACTTAAACCTGTCTGTCTTATGTGTCCAAAAGTTATTTGTTATCACTTTAAACCTCCCTTGGTAATCCAGTTTAGAACCAAGGATCAATTTACTTCATAATCATTTCCAACCCCTTCTTTGCTTTGTGTGACCTTGACCTTTACACAATCTGACCTGTATTGTAATTGTAATGATTGATGCCTTCTAGAAAACTGTGGATATTTGATTTACTTCAAGTCTGGTCACAGATTGATGCAACAGTTAGAGACCAATAAGAAAGCCAGCATGGAGTAGTGGTAAGCAGTTTCTGCCTAGTTTGGTACTCTTCACAGGACAACGCACACACCAAGGTCCGAAACAGAGGACCACCACCTTCCACTTACAAGGCAGTCGTCTCGTAGACCAGTCAATGCCACTGGGATCCCATTAAATGACCAGTTAATCCATGAATTCTAACTATCCTACCAATTCGTGATATTAGCGCGACGACTACCAGCCACCACCACGCCAGTGTCATTGGCAAATTTATACAAAACAGAAGTTCAAACACCAATCACCACAGAGTATGTAAAAGAACCAGTCATATCCAAGTTTTATTGGATTAAAAGGCACTGATAGATATGCTAATGAAGAAAGTGATATATAATCGGAATCAAAACTCAGAGATTATAAACCATTATTTTTAAATGAACTCTCTCACGATCAAACAGTCGGTATTGGCTAATAAACATACATGCTTGTGGTATAAATCACAATTCCTGTAGAGTGACAATATCACAGTATAAGGAGCAGTATCCTCTGAACCTATAATCAGTAACCTAGTTAGTTCAAACCATAGATGTATTGATCATTTGTTCACGTTTCGTCAATTGGTGGAACACCGCCAAACGTACTGCAGGCCAACAATCGTTGCGTTTCCTGATATCAACGCTGCTCTCGATTCGTTAGACAGAACTGTTTCCTGCATCTTTTACATTAGAAACGGGTTTACCTGACCAGTATGTTAACAACCTGAAAGCCTTATACAGAAAGACCTCAGGTAGAGAGTGAGGGCGTACAACCAACTATCATCACTGTCCCCAATTAACCATGAGGTTAAAAGGACTTGTTCAGTCTCTCTGTTTTTCTTTAACTTTACCGTCAGTGACATTCTGGAGTCAGCTCTGAAAGACGTGTGTGATTGTGATATTGATCTGCTTCCTGGGAGAAGACTTTTCAACCTCATGTATGTAGAAAATATCGCCTAACTGTAGGATAAGATACAGACTGCTCGAATTCCACTTCATCTCTAAGTATGGCATATGCTCTACGCCGCCTAAGTACAAAGTGTCTTTACAAGATTGGCAGGAGCCTGTACTCACCTGCACTTCCGATTACAGGTGAACCTCTTGGGGCTTAATGGTCTACGAGCTCGCTAGCCTTGTAACCAACAAGTCCAGGGTTCAAACCCATGTGGTGGGGTGAGTACTGGTGAGGAGTCCCAAACTAGGCTGGCGAAACAGCTGTCCAGTACTCCCAACTGATTTTCCAATGGCTCTCTAACTGATGTCAGCTCACATGATGAAATCCACCAACCAATCAAACGAGAAAACTCCCTCCCTACAAAACCAATCCTTGAAAATCTTCCTTATTAACTTGAACAGAGATAGAACAAAGAAACATTGATGCAGAAATTTTACTGAATTGAGTCAATGCATCCTGGCTGTATTTCACTCCTACTAAATTTGGATTTTGTTTGTAATTTTTTTTTACTTGGCGGAGTTTGGCGTTGAATGACAACGTGATTCGATCAAAGTTCTCAACAAATTTAACTTTAGCAGGATTGTTGTAAAGGGTTTCGATGGGAATTTGACTTTTGGCAAACGAGTGTCATATATGTGTCTCCGTAGATGTCGGAAGAGAGGGTGACGACATCCACGGAGACACATATATAACACTCGTTTGCCAAAAGTCAAATTCCCATCGAAACCCTATACAACAATTCTGCGAGAGGATGACGAGAAGGTATGTAACGACAGTTGACGTGCCATCCTCATATGTATCAATTTATGTTACAGCATATGGAGAGCTTTCATCACTCTGAACTCAGTGGAGAAATCTGCCGCACTAATTCAGCCAGCATAAACAACAAGATTCAGAATTTCAACACAAATATTAAGACAAACAGTCAGTCAGTCCTTCTACATAGGTCATAAACTTGCAGTGAGCCCACATCACGGAAAGCGTTTCCAACAGGATGGTGTGGACTTTCATCCAACAGCTGCCCACTTCACTCCCTCTATATATTGAAGATCGAATGGCTAGTCGGCGAGAAAGAATTAACAAACTGAAACACTGGGAACAAATCAAACAAGAAACGATTGCTGAACAAATATATAGAAGAAAATGGAAAGAGATTGAGCATACGCCACTGAGGAGACTGTCGAATGACATCGAGTGCAATATGCAGGTCTTAGCTTGAATGGAATTTGAATAGGAAACGACGCATGGGACGTGTGTCTGAGGGTGACATCGAGGAAATTGTGTAAGGAGGAGATATGAGATTATGGGCAATCGTGTGCGAAGCTAATGAGGACAGCAGAGGATAGGAGAAAGTGGATACATGCCACTGAAGCCCTATGTCTTACTCGGAACTCAAGGGAACAATGAAAATAATAATGGCTTTCTTACAAAAACAATCCTTACTCACTGAAGGACTGATGATTGATCGCCGATGCAAAAATGTTTGCTGAAATTGTATTATTATAACTGATTTTATCAAATACTATATAGTTCAATGAGGTTAAAATTGCTATTGAGTGAAAAGAAAGGTATTATACTACGGTTGTAGGCCCCGACCGATAGCTGCTACACCTTGAGGCGGTTGATGGTCGGGCTTGCACATCGCGATGACCCAACCAGCTACACTGGCTGGAACCAATGTTCCTGCAGGTCCTATCATGCCAGGAAGGCTGTTAGGAATGACCTAGGCTACCTGTTTGAACATTTTGGGCTACCATATTCCTTGTACATTTTGCATCTATTTACTCGTATTTTATTGGTATTTACATATCACATTATGCATTCTAATCGTATTATCCACTCCCGGGATTTTATAAAACGTTTTAAACCCAAAAACTTTCATATTTGCAATAAACTCAAGAAAAAGCACCATGGAGGTTGGCAGCGTGCCTTAAAATCTACACCCATACATCACACCACTGTTCCAGTTATCATTAGTACCAACTGCCGGTCCCTGCCTAACAAAATTCTGGATTTTCAGTCCCTGTTGTCTTCTAGAACTTACCACAATACTGGTATTGTCACTCTACAAGAAACCTGGCTCCATGACTCATACGATGACAATATTGTGTCTCTAAACAATTTCAATGTTTTTCGACAAGACCGTGTTTGTTCCAAGAAAAAATGTGGTGGAGGTGTTGCAACTTTTATTCACTCAAAATGGTCCATTTCAAACAAAGTTTGTTTCAAATTCTCGAATGACTTCATTGATTGCATCACTGTGAGATGTCGCCCGAAACACCTGTCAAAATACAAATTCATTTAATATTTCTAATGTTTATGTCTCTCCTGGCTGTACCATATTGGATTTATCTATGTTCGCCGATGAATTCACCGCTTTTGCTGCAGCTTGTTTCGAGAACTCTTTATCAATAGTAACTGGCGACTTCAATGCATGCGATCACTCCTTCCTTATATCACTTGGTCATGACAATATTGTTAACTTTGCCACCCGTCTTGGTAAAAAACTGGATCTAGTATTTATCAATGATGTTGGTATATATGAAGCTCGCAAACGTGCTCCTTTACTTAACTCTGACCACTGCATCATACGTGTACTGCCTAAAATATATTCCAAATCACACAAAGGTGTCCTCTCTCACCTCTACAGTAAAGTTCAACGGAGATGCTACTCAAAAGACAACCTAGACAAGCTCAGATGCATGTTGAAAGACACTAACTGGGACTTATTTACAGAACAAACATTAGATGAAACAATCACAAACACTACCGATTATCTTAAATTCTGTTTCGAAATATGTTGTCCTAAAGAAACATTATTCATTCGATTTGATCGCTTATCTTCGCCATATCTCAAAAAGCTACGTAGAAATAAAGAACTGTTGTTCAAAACTAATGATAAGCCTGGTGTAAAAAAGTTAAACATTCTGATAAAACTGGAAATGAAAAGACTAAGTGTTTTATATAATCAAAGATTTTTGTCATGTAAAACCCCTTCTAATTTTTCAAAGAAATTACTAACGGTAAGCGATGTATTTCTGTTCCATCTCTTAATGTTGACACTCTTAATAAATCTTTCATACGCTCTTCTGTTGATACCCTTCCAAATGATACAAATCATATTGACAATAACTTTAGTGGTTTTAATACCCTTGATGTGCTTAAATGTCTCCGGTCTCTTAAGCCTTCTCAAAGCCTTGGTCCTGACGGCATACCTGCCATTGTCCTCAGGAATTGTGCTGATATTTTGTGTTATCCTCTTACTAACATTCTTTTTCCGGTAACGTTCTACCTTTTGCATGGAAAAACATTAAAATTATCCCTATACCAAAACCATCTTCTGGTTCTGATATTAAATTTCGGCCTATTGCAATTACTTCCCCCTTTTTAAAATTGATGGAAAAATTACTTTTACTTCGTCTTGAACCCGCTTTGAAACCTTTTAATGATCCTAAACAATTTGCATACAAACATGGTAGAAGTACCTTGGATGCTGCGGTTGTCTTATATCACAATGTTGTCTCTTGTTTAGACAAAGGTGCTAAATATGTTCGTAGTGCTTTCTTAGACTACACATCTGCTTTTGACTCTGTACCTAGGGGCCTTTTATTAAATAAGCTATCGTTGACACAAACAGGATCCTGGGCTAAGAGTTGGTTGCATTCCTATTTTTCTGATAGAATGCAGTATACTGTATATAACGGCAAATCTTCTTCTACCTCGCTTACAAAATCCGGTGTTCCACAAGGTGCTGTCCTCTCTCCTTTTCTTTTTTCTTTCTTCCTACATGACCTGCCTCATTCAAACGAAACTAACTTTGTCAAATATGCAGATGATCTGACTGTATCACTGCCTATCACTTCCGAGTCTGACAGCTCCAAACTTAATAGCTTTCTGTTGGACATCAACAACTGGTCCAAGTCAAATGGTCTTATATTAAATCCTTCCAAATGTCAGGCACTTGACTTTACTTTCAAGCATCGACGTGACTTACTTGAACTAGTTAGTTCGCATGATCCCTGTAGCATAGATGGCACGGAAATTGAAACCAAATCAAGCATTAAATACCTTGGATTAGTTCTTTCCTCTGACCTTTCATGGTCATCCCATATCTTATCTATCTCTAAGAAAATGTTTCGTCTTACCTTCTACATTAAAAAGTTAAGACAATCAGGTATCAACCAACCTTTAGTTTTGCAATTTTTAAACTCCTGTATTTTACCTATTGTACTCTATTGCTCTCCATTAATCTTTCCTGGGCTTCTCAAAAAAGATTATATCATATTACGAAGAGTATTAAATGCTGTGAGTAGGGCTTGTGGTCTGCCACTGCATGAGCTCGCTAATACTATAGTCGAGAGGCATATAAATTCCTGTACGAAATGGGCAAAGGCTATACTGTCAGACCCTCTGCACCCCCTTTATTCACACCTGTCCCCTTGTATCTCATCAGGTAGGACGAGAAGTCAATATAAAAAGTTATATGCTCGTACCACTAAGTATAGAAATTCTACAATACCCTATTTAGCCCGTACTTTATGTGACGAAGACTCTGTTAGACGTGAAACACATAAGTTACTATGTAATTAGCACAGTGAATCGACCCTTTCATTGTTCATCTTTCTGTATTTTATGGTGTCACACTTTCTGTATATATCCAAACCAAGTTCGCTTTTAACGGTTTGAAAAAATTTGGGCATTGGGTATATGATATTCATTATAATAGAGGCTTTTTGTATTTCCCAATGAATGATAAAACAAAACGAGATTGTTTTTACTGACGTTTCGCTATTTAATGCTAATAGCTTTCGCAAAGTATTATTAAACCGGAATTATATGCTGAGATTTTGTAAATTCCGGTTTAATAATACTTTGAGAAAGCTATTAGCATTAAATAGCGAAACGTCAGTAAAAACAATCTCGTTTTGTTTTTTCATTCATTGGGAAATACAAAAAGCCTCTATTATAATGAATGTCACACTTTCTGTCGTTTAATCATTACTCTGCTATTTTATTTTAGTTGGTATTACTATTATTACTACAATTTTATACTTTATGCATATTTTTCTCCGTACTGCATACAGTATTTTGCCATGTAGCTGCTGTAACAATCGTTTTATTATTATTATGTAATGTGTATTTTCAATTTTTTTTCGTCGTTTTTGAGTAAATTAGATGCAATATTGTACTGAATGCTGAAAATTCCTTGCTGTATCATTAGTACTGTTTTCGGAATAAAGCTGTTATTATTATTATTATTATTAGACTAAAAGCAGTTACCAGCATTGAGTAAGAATCTTTCTTACACTATGCTCGGGGTCTGAGAGTAAAGTCGTACTGCTAGGGAACAGGGGTTAACATCAGTGAGGTGTTCCCCTCAGATGACCAGCATACCAGCCAGATATGCTGTCTCTCGACTTCGGAGAGAGGGGGTTAGAAAAGACTGACCCCAAAAATTGTACATTTCGACCTACCCTACGGTGGTCCGGCGGTAAGTTTACTAATACGGAACCAAACCAAGAAACCAGTTCATACAGGCCGTGTGTGATCGGCCTCAAGCAGTTGTCACCTGGGCCCTGCGGTCACGCAAAACTCTTTCTGTTTCAGGTACCCGAAGAATCAATCAATTTCCACGGTGTGGGCAGCCGGGAAGTATTGACCGCCCACACACTTCCAAAAGCACACGAAACCTTCCTGAGCATCATTCTCCTCTACTCACATCAAGACAGTTTATAAGCAGCTGACTCGAGAACCAAAGAAATAAAAATGAACCCGTATATCATTCTGAACCAATTTTTGTTCGATCTCTGTTCAAATGTTACAGTTCGTTCGAATTCCTTTCTCTCATCTCTTCTATCCAGTTTGGTGTGTCATATGGATTGTAGCAAGTTGAACTGCCGCCCTTCTGTGCAAGGTTCTGTATAGAAATTCAAACAGTCACTCAACCAGTCATTAAGAGAGAAAATGGAATTTATGAACAGGCCATTAAATCGGTTTCCAGTGGCTGCGAATGGTCTACGAATTCGCCTTATAAGCAGAAAGCCATAGGTTTGAACTTCGGTGGGTACAAACTGCTATGAAGAGTCCCAGATTGGGACGAAACACCTGTCCAGTATACTCCATGATGGTTTTTCAATGGTTCTCTAACTGATCAAATCCCTGCACAACCCCCCCCCACAACACTTATTATTCAAAATATTTTAAAAATACTCCAAAAGAAAAAAGGAGATTGACAAACTAACTTGATTTTGACACCAGCAATCGAAAACTGTCCACATGTTCATGTGCAAATAATCCAGCCATTAATAGGTCAGCATTATATATTAGAATATTAACAAATCGATCATTAATCTCTGGTCGAAGAAATCGATAACCAGCTGGTGCATTTTCTGATGCTCCAGGCGGAAAATGACTGACGAGTAAAACCTTGAAAAATAAACAAATAAAAATTAAATAATTATTGAGTTGTTATTTTTTTCAATTTTTATTTTCGAACTCAATTCCCAGAAAGGGTATTTCATATTCCAAATCAAAAGTCGAACTTTTTATTGTGTGTGTGGGGGGGGGGAGCAGAGGAGCAGCAGGGTCCGAACACGGGACCCCTTGAACTGAAAGATAAGTGCTGAAGCCAGTGGGCCACATCATTCTACCCAATTCAATTAGTTAGGCCTCCCCATTCTTTCTCAACATTATTACTTATAAAAACTCAAAGCTTATAAGAATGACACGACGGTATACACAGACTGATATGAGGAGCTGAAGACCACTCACACTCTTCAATCAGTAGTCTTCGTAAACCAGATTGAAGTAATCTGAACAGTGGGTGGCAGTCTCGCTTATTTGCAGGTTAAGGTTATCAGAAATGTAATCGGTTTAAATCAGTTCAGAAGAGAGCTCAAAAAGTTCAGACCACCTAGACCGCTTCGCCGGAGTACTTGTGTCGGTGGTTCAGTGGTAGAATGCTCGCCAACCACACCCCATCCGATCAGGAGTTCAACACCCAGTCGACGCATTCCTAAACCTCGCTAAACCGATAGTAAAGCCGGTAAAAAGGGAAGGTTGGGTGTGAGGTTAGCAACCCCACCCCGTAAAAAAAAACTCACTACCACCGAAACCTCAAAGATCCAGTTTGAGACTCTCTGTGTTCGATTAGGAACGTAAGGGAATAAAGTGAAATAAAATACCTGAGTGAAACAATAATACATTGCATGAAATTCGAAAAGTCATGTAACTGCGTCGGGGGGGGGCGTGAATTATTTCCAAAAGCTTATACCAAATACCGATGATACACATGAAACAATACTCTTTTTTTCAAACGCCATCAATAATTTCCTTGAATTTCACGTGAACTATAGAGAATCAACAGTCCATCTCCATTTTACTCCGTTCTCTACAGTCCCCTTCAGTTGCCCCCACGATTGGCATAGACTGTTTCCTCCTCACACGATCTCCTTCATATCACTATCGAATATCTCCCTTATCGTTTCCTATTCGAGTTCCAATCAAGCGCCGACTTGCATTGCGCACGATGCCATTCAACGATTTCTTCAGTGTGTCTCTGATTCACCTCCATTTTCTCCTACATATTTGTTGAGCGATCGGTTGCTTGGTTGGTTTCTTCCCACAGTTTCCTGTCACTTATCCTTTCTGGCCATTTTTGATCTTCAGTAAGGAACCAGCTATTGAAGGAGGCAGTTGTTGATGAAAGTCTGCAACCTGCTGAAAATTCTTTCCGTGACACCTTGGCCAAGTTTCTGAACCGTATAGAAGGACCAACTTCACATTGGTGTTGAAAATCCAAATCTTTTTCTTTGTGCTGAGATAGAGCGCAGAAGATTCCCAAAGTGGTTTCAGGTTGATGAAGGCTTATCTTTCCAATTCTGAATTTGACTTCTTTATTCCTTCCCCCTGTGGTTGAAATGATGCTTCCTATCCAGGTAGGCGAAGGAGGTAACCTCTGTTAAATCTCTCCCGTTGATAGTGATTGATGCTGGTTGTTGTTGCTGTTGCTGTTGGTTGATTATCTTCAGCATCCCCTCCTTCTTCTTCTCTATGTTCACCTGGAGTCTTGTCTTCGCTGCCTGCTTCTTCTGCCAGTTCCTTGGTTTTTTGCCTGAAAGTCTTCCAGTTCGTGTGATATGAGGCATAAATCAACCACGAAATCCAGATCTTTCAGAGTCTACTTATCAGTCTAACATATTCCTATCGTCTCGCGCTTCCCACACACTATCTGACGACGCATAATCCGATCCCCCATAATTAGGAATATCTTTGGCGATAATAGGCAACCATGTAAGCCAGAGTATGTTGTGACAGCGTATCGCTCGACTAACATCTGCTTGCGTTAGACAGTCAACCAAAAAGTTGACAGAATACGTTGAATTTCGTCAGGAAGCGATAAGATTTAGAAGGTGATTAAAAGTCAGGGAACACTAGGTAGCCGTTTCGTCCTAGATTAAAAATCCAAAAAGAATTGACTCCGCTGGGAAGTTTCTGAACCATGGATTCCTTGACGTTAAGCAGAAGTAAAACATATACTCACTGGCCAACAATATTGAAAGACGCTATGTCACAAACTGACAGAATTTCAAGTTCATAGGACAGTGTAGTGACTGATAAATAGTTAACATGTCCCACTAATAACTTCAAAGTCCTAAGAGAGGTTAGACACCTAATGGAGTCTTCAATGCTCACGTCTGAAACTGTCCAAAACGAAGAATAAAGACAATAAAGTGGACTAATTTCCTTTTAAGCGTTAGTTTGTAGGAATTTAATTTGTTCCAAGTTTGAACAAGCCAGTCTGCTTAAATCACAGGGCTACCAAAATATCCAACCAGCAAAAATGCTGATTAAATTCTACTGCAATTCACAGTTTTATGTCAGATGACGACTACATGAACTCGCAAGCGTATTTAATTAACTCCCAAGTAAACACTGTACAATTCTTGAAGTAAATGAAGAAAAAAATCAACAGAATTGAGTCTCTATTTATATATGCAATTAAGCCACGTCATATTTTTTTTATTCAAGTATTGGTTTGTAGGGATTTGAATGATTGGTTACAGGATTTCATCATCAGCTGACATTGGTTAGAGAACCATTGGAAAACCTGGGAGTACTGGACAGCCAACTGTTTCGTCCTAGTTTGGGACTCTTCACAGTACGCACCCACACCACGGGATTCGAACCCAGGCCCTTCTGGTTACAAGGCGAGCTCGTAGACCATTAAGTCACTAGGACCCGATCCAATGGCCAGTTCATGAATTCTAACTTCTGCCAATTCACGACATAGCGCAACTGCTAGCCAATGTCTTCGGCGAGTATTTGTCCTCACACCCGACCTGCTGCACCTTACTTGTCACGACTTCCCACTGGAACCCCAGGTAACTACCTACCTGAATAGGGCCAGTTGCCAGTGAGCATCTCATTGGTATTTAATTTTATTATAGCTTCATTCCACACAGTATTTTTGATACAAGTATGGAATTTTCAGCATGTGATATCTCGGCGGCCCAAATTTAGCCGGCTGACCGTTGATATCAGGTGTGTGTGTGTGTGTGTGTGTGTCGGCCAGGGATAGAACCCCGGACCATACGCATGGTGGGCGAGCGTCCTAACTGCTGTGCCATCGACGCAGATGTTTACTTTACATGTAAGTCCTATATGAAGAGGAATTATATTCTGGAACTAAATAGGCTGAAAAATTTCTGTACTACGTGTTCACGTACTGTCTGAAATAATGATCTATTATTATTATTATTATTATTATTATTATTATTATTATTATTATTATTATTATTATTATTATTATTATTATTAAGTGAATATCCCATCATTTCAAGATTTCTTGTAATTTTCGCATATTATGGTTTCAGAAGCTGCTGGATGACTAACGATTATATTAATATCTTTCCATTATATATACATTTGGTGAAAATTTTCACAAATATTCTGTTACAAGTTGACATTATTATTTCTCTTATTATAATCTTAAATATTGTTTGACCTTTTCTACATGACATTTTCTACAATGTTTCCTAGCGCCAATTTTACCAAGTCAGGTTATTTGGTTGACCTTTAGTTGAGGGAAATTATTATTGTTGTCTCTTTTAGTTCCTAGAGGAACACAGGTCTTCAGACGCATGTCTCTATTGCGTTCGGTTCTCTGCCAATGTTTTCATCATCTGGCTTCACGTCTGCCCACATGCTTTCTTCATCTCCTCTTCACATCACCTCCTGCATGTCACCTTCACACTGGAGACCAAACTCATCGCTTCTACTTCCGGTTCCACTCGAGCAATGGACCTGGAGTGTGATGTCACTCACTTGATGGTTTGTTTTCTCACAGTATAGCCAATCCGCCTACATTTCTTCATGCATATTTCACACACAATTGGTTCCTGCTCGGTTGGTTCGTTAGTTCATTGCCAGGGATTCCTGTTACTGATCTTCTCTGGCTGGCCATTTCACCTTGAGTAGTAATGAGCGAAGACAGTTGCTGATGAAAGTATGTATGTATTAGTAGTTCGAAGTGGCCTTCGTGACACGGCGCCAATTCTCTGAACCGTTAACGACAACAAAAGAACAAAGAAGGGTAAGGTGAACACAAAAATCTACACATGTATGCATAAATAATAAAAATAGTACTGAAAAACTTACCTTCGCTTTATGTCTTCTTGCCCAACGAAATGTTTTCTGTAGCCATTCCAATTGACCTAATGGATCATTGTCTGTATTCCCAGCAAGACGATTCCCTTGATACCAAATGAGACCGTTCAAACTGATTAAGATTAAATTTGTACGACGATTACTATCCGCATGATGATAATCATAATGATTATATGGACCAATATTTACAAGATGATGTGAAAAGAAACAAGCTGGAATGTAAACGAAAAAGAACAATGATAACAAGGTTAAGATGGACATTTATAAAAATTATCATTGTAAAATCTCAGAGAAATTGAAATGATTAATTCCAACGTTTCCTGTGTTCAGCAATCTCGTCCGAACTTCTTCAGGGAAATTAGTCGGATATAACATAACATAGGTTTGTATATAAAAGGAACATCTCTTGTTTTTAAAAAAAACTTTGTCCAATCATGAGTCAGTCATAAAACAAGTATAAACAAGTAGGTATTATAAACAAAACTGTATGAGCTGCGATCAAAATTTGACCTCAGACTTACAAATATTGGTCTAACTTTGTTAAACACTTTAAACACGACGTGTATGTGTGTGTGTGCGGATAAACAGTTGTAAAACATTGTCTTAACGTCTCTATAAGTAGATATAGACAGTCAGGAACTTTGACCAAGTATTATTGGTTAGTGATTCATATCCATTCTTATTTATTAATCAGGATTTCCTATGCATCAGCTAACATCACACTTCCATGTATGTCTGTTCAAACTGTTAGTATCTAGAATTTTATGATTAGACGTATTTTCAAAATTATGGTGTTTAGGATTAGAGTTTATAGTTGAAGCACCCTGTCGAACTTATCGCTTTGTCTTCTTTCTGAAAATTGAGCTGCTTTATTCGACCTTCTGGAGAACTGTCAGGTGACTGGACAGCTACGAATTTCGGATATGCATTCTGTTGCAGACAACGGAGATTGAAAACACGATGATTGTACCAATTACATAGTTTCTTTGTTAATTTAACTCGATTGAAAAATAATTCAAGTGAACTTTCGTCAAGATTTGACAGAATAGTTCTAAAATATTTGGGCGCCGAGTGAGAAGTAAACATTTGTAAAAAATTATATTTTTAAAATCTCAGAGAAATTGAAATGATTAATTCCAACGTTTCCAGTGTTCGCCAATCTCGTCCCAACTTCTTCAGGGAAATTATTCGAAATTAACATAACAGAGCTTGATATATAAAAGGAACATCTCTTGTTTTTATAAACTTTGTCCAATCATGAGTCAGTCATAAAACAAGTATAAACAAGTAGGATAATAAACAAAATTGTACGAGTTGTGATCAAAATTTGACTTCAGACTTTCAAAATTAGTCTAGTGTGGGTGAACAGTCATAAAACATTTGCTATTCTCTCCATAAGAAGACGTAGACAATCGGGAATTTGACCAAGTGTGACTAGTTGTTAATACATATCCAATTTTATATATTAGAGTCAGGATTTGCCATGCATCAGCTAACATCACACCTTCACCCATATATGTAGGGCTTCTGAAGTTAGTCTTTCTTTATATGAACCAAAACCTTTCTGTAAAACCTTAGTCTTATCAAAGTCGACTTTGTGTCCCGTTTCTATTGAATCTAGTGCGATCGCTGAGTTGTTTTCTAGCTTCTTCACGTCTATAGAGGTTAAAATGGTTTGTTGGTTTTGCTTTAAAGATTCATATTTATATATGTGTAAAACTTGTACATTGTGATAGTATTTAATTCCATATCAACTTGTTGATTAGATATATCACACACAGGGTTAAAACGTGTTATTTACTACCTGAATGACAAACTTTCAAACACAATTTATTTATTATTCATAATCATTTCATCAATTACAAACACACGACTTTGAAACTTTCGTTTCACAGTTTTCTTTATTCTTTCCTATTCGTCGTCGTAGGCGTAGTAGAATTTTCTAGATGTCCAAATGGACATTACACGTGTTCGCAGTTGATTCGATAAACAAAGCTTCCGTTATCAATCTCTCCCGCGCCACCCTATTATATCAGTAAGATGTTAAAACTGTCTGTCGTCTTATCCCATCATCCTATTGTATGGTTGGTTGTGTGTAATTGCATGTAGTGAGTGCTATAGCTGAACTATTCTCAAAATTTCTTATCTTACTCGGATCAACTAATCTAGATTTTGCTGCTAGGTTTTTATGCTCGGCTAGTCTGACTGCACCTGTTCTACTACTTTGACCTGACAATCATTGGGGGCAGGGTATTAGACAAACTAAATTGTTTTGTTTTAAAGGCTACACAGAATTGACCCCTTAACCGACAAAGCTTGTTTCTAATTGAGTTTGTGGATTTGAATGCCAGCCACTTTTATTCCTGCCTGCATTGTTAAGAATTCCGCGTAAGGTTTCCAAGGTTCCTTCTTTGTATGGAAGTACTACTGATGATTTAGATTCCTTATTGCTAGTGTTGTCATTATCTTGCACATATCTGACATGCATATCGTCATTAATACTAATATTATTATCACTATCACTACTATCATTATTTATTCTATTTTTACATTTCTCTACATACTTTATCAGGGTAATTATTAAGTTTCAAGGCTTCTCTTATATGTATCAATTCCTGTCTTAGATTTTCTTAGGTTATTATTATTATTGCTCCCTTGGGTTCCTAGTGAAACATAGGGCTTCAACTGCACGTCTCCATTTGCTTCTGTCTTCTGCTATACTTTTCGCCTGCATCCATGTTAGTCCATATTCTTTCAACTCCTCTTCACACGATCTCCATGTCACCCTTGGATGTCCCACACGCCGCCTCCCTTTCGGGTTCCGTTCGAGGGCTTAACGCGCGATGTCACCCAGCGGTCTCCTCAGCGAGTGTCCGATCCATCTCCACCTGGCTGTCATTATCCTGGAGGAGATTGGTTCCCACTGCATGAGAGCTTTGGTTGCTGTTGGTGACATCATGATGGCCACTCCCTCGGTGTGCTCATGGTTGTCCTCTGGGTGGCCGGAAAAGATTACTGTCTCTCCAGTAGGTAGTTGGCACCTTCCAGTTCCGTTCCATCTGCTCTCACAGATTCCCAACACTTCTATTCTGTACCTTCTCATTTCAGCGGCTATCTGGGCAGCCTTTCCAGTTTTGTACATTGTACGAACATTCCAGGTACCCATCCTTACTTTTGCTTTCATCGAAGGAAGGCACATCGGCTGACTGGCTTCCCGAAGGCTTTCACCAGCCTGCGTCATTTCACTTTCCCGATTCCAGCGAAAAGTAAGGCTATTGCTTATGCTTTTAGAATTTTTAATATATTTATTCGTTGAAGTTTCTGTAGCGATTTGGTTGTTTTACAGGGGTGGAGTTGCTAGCACCACGCCCAACCCTCCCCCCATCTTTACCCGGGCTTGAGACCGGCGAGAAAACTAGTAAGCTAGTGGCCTAGCAAGCTAGTATCTGGCGATTAAACATTTCACCCACATAGGATGGAATGATTGGAAGTTCAAATATCTATTTGAATGTGTTACTGGGTTTTCTGTAAACACACTAGTGTGTTTAACTTCCCATCTTCTTTCCATTTTTACTCTACAATCTAACACTGGTAGCTCCCCTTCCTGTGATAGGAATGATTCAACACCTGTCTAGCTGGATACCTGGAAAATTCTACTACCCCTACGACGACGTCAATAGCAGAGGACAAAGAAAACTATCAAACACAAGTTTCGAAGTCGTGTGATTATAACTGATTGGTATGATTATGAACAATAAATAAATTGTGTTCGAAACGTCACCCAGTTAATAATACTGTTTCACTCACCGTGTAATATATCTAATAAACAAACTAATATAAAATTATTATAAAGCGAAAAATATTGTTGCGATAATTAAAGATTCTTTTTTAGAATGACCTATTAGTTATGATACGAGAAGATTTGTAACTGAGGTGGATTGATTTTGGATGCATAGTGTTGTGTTCTCTGAGCTAGCTGGATGATTTATTTGCGCAGCTTTCATTATTGCCCTACTATCATTGTATACAGTACAACCACAGACATCAATTCAACTGGGACAACATTCAAATGCTAGACAGAGAGAGAGAGAGAAAACACTAAGAATGTTAGAGAATCCTTTTTAGAAGCCTGACTGGTATTCCAGGTTGTAAATTGTCAAACATTTCCATGCGCCTCCTGTTCACATTTATAATTCGTTTAAAATAACAATTTTACAATTATATTCTAATCCTGTGTAAGTTTTTGTTTCTATGCCTCTTGTAATCTATATTCACACCTCCTAACTTACATTTCAAGTTGAAAATTTTGATTTCAATTTGTTTCCATGCTCATTTGGTCCACACCTGTAATTCGTTCTATCCCTGCGTTTCTAAGCCTCTTGTAATTCATATCAAGTTGAAAACATTCATCGCCTTCTATTTGACTTAAAATTATTTCTCCAGTTATCAAATATTAATTTTTGCATACGTTGTAACTGTTTTCTAATCCTATGCAATCTTGTCTCTAAGCCACTTGTAATCTATATTCGTACCTTCAAACTTTGATATGAAGTTGAAAATTATTATCACCTACGTTACTATGTGGAATTAAATAAAAAAACTGTTGTATCCATGTAAACTAATGTATATACTGCGTTGGTGGCATAGCGGTTAGGACGCTCGCCAACCATGCATATGGTCCAGGGTTCGATCTCCGTCCACAGACGCACTCTTTTGCCTCGCTGAGCCAGAAATAATACTGGTAAAGAGGAAAGGTTGGTCATGAGGCTAGCAACCCCATCCTGTAAAATAAACACTACTACAGAAACTTCAAGCCACTAGCTTGAAGCCATATGTTCCACTACGGAACGTGAAGGAGAAAAAAACCTTATAATGACTGTGAGTGAGGTCAACTGCATAGGTAAAACTAGTAGGTCGGGATTAGTCAGATTTTCGGAACAAAACAATTTGGCTAAAGTAAGAATTCTTGACCTCGAGAAGATAAGTAATTTAGAAAAAAGCTCAGCAATTGCACTGCATGCGTTAACACACGACCACACAATAAGGTGGGTGGGAGAGAGTTAAAATTCTAAAAAGTAATATAAGTAGGTGGACAGCGAGAGAGGTTGATTACTGAATCCTGGTTCATTGACTCTACACCCGACACATGCAATAGGAATGATTCATCACTCATACCGGAAATATGGAAAATACTACTAGTAATCAAGTCGAG